CTAGCCACACCTTCGGAAGTTGTCTACAAGGCTAATTCGAATTTCGAAAATTTTCGAAATTATTTGATCATTCACCAAGAGGTTGTAGACCACTTTAAAATATTTTGCGACCCATTATTCCCCCTTGCTTTATTTCCAAAGTTAATTCTGATTCGCTATGAGATTATTCAAAAACTATTATTCAGAAAATAATATTAGGTCGGTTCAAAAGTTTTGTCAGTCTTTTTAAATGCCCGCAAATTCCTAACAGTAAAGATAAACAAATATTAGGTTGTACCGAAAGTTTTGCCCGTTTTTTTTTCATCGCTCACTAAAACTTACAGTATACCAATCTATGGACGACCTAGGTATCATCTGGATTCAGATTTTTACCCTCTTTCCTACAGCTACATTTGCCCTCTGATCTGCCCTGTCTTTGCAATGTTCTCTTTTTGAGCAGCTCAGCAGTACCGCTAAATCTTTCCTGTTGAAAATTGTTATCATGGTGTTTCTAAAGAGCGCTGGTAAATGTTCTGTAGAGCAAACCTTTGGCTACATTGTATATATTTTGGTTTACATGAGTCACGTTTACCAAGCCCGTTATAAATATTACTTTATAAAAACCGCAGCTTTTTGGTAACGTTCACACTGCCGCTGCCTTTAAGTGGACAGAGACTTTAGGTGGATCTATAGTTTTGGCCCACGTTCAAGCCTGCTCTTTTTTTCGAAATTTTTGATTTTTCCCTAAATAATCAAATAAAGGCTGGATCCGTTTTGATTATTGATGGTAGCCTGTTAACGCATCGCTGCAAATTTCAGATCAATTCGTTGAGAAGCATATGAACTACGTCAGCTTTCAGAGTGGATCTGTAGTTTTGGCCAGCACTGTATATAGGTGCGAGCGCCTAAGCTTGTGGGCTATGACATGGTCAAAAGGGGGGGAGGGGCGCTCATTACTTGTGGGTGTCAATTGAAAATTGCCGCTACACGGCATTACAGTAACCCGGTCAAGAAGCAGCAGGGCCAGAGGAGATGTCCCAGAGGTGTTTAGGGATCATGCTATAATAATGAACAAAAACTACATATTTTGTGATCAGTTACGATACCGCTCACATTTTTGAAAAATAGACGCGAATGTAGCATAACTCATGTGACACGTGACATGACCCAGACGGTCGCAAGAGTTATGTCACATGTCGCATGAGTGACGCGAGGTCGCCTAATGTATGGACATCACGGCCGCATGGCCATATCTCGCTTCAGAGTGGATGAATTCTGAATCCAAAGCCACCATTCGATTTGGCTCTGCGAGGAGCACCTTCTGATACATTGAAAATGGGGGTACGATGTCTTCGATGATCCGTTTCTAGTTTTCTCAAATTCTTCTGCGGAGGTCCTTTCGCGAATATGTGAAGCAGCGCCTATACAACATAGAAGATTCCACTAAGTACTATTCGATGATACTGTTCTTGTAGATTATTGTGCGCTAAAAAATAGGCTCAGACTTCTTTCCAAAGGAGATAGAAGCGCTGGTGAATTCTGGAAACATCACGCGTTGTTAAATTCTACTCGCCATAACTTTTGAATGAGTATGAGATTTATAGGCAGCGGCTCGGCAGAATGACAATTTTGAAATATCCATCGTTCTCGTTCCCCTGGATGAGCTAAGTCCAAGACTGTGCTTTGCACCTTCAAAAGATATCAATAACCCGCGTTTCAGACTTGAAAAGTGCTATTTGAGCGGACCGGGTAAGCCCGCGCTCTAGAGCGCATTGGCTCTTGAGTACGGTGGGTACGGTACCTCACTCACGAACCAATCGCGCTCTAGAGCGCGGGCTTACGCGGTCCGCCCAAATAGCACTTTTCAAGTCTGAAAAGCGGTTATTGATATCTTTTGAAGGTGCAAAGCACAGTCTTGGACTTAGCTCATTCAGGGGAACCGAGAACGATGGATATCCCAAAATTGTCATTCTGCCGAGCCGCTGCCTTTAAAACTCATACTCATTCAAAAGTTATGGCGAGTAGAATTTAACAACGCGTGATGTTTCCAGAATTCACCAGCGCTTCTATCTCCTTTGGAAAGAAGTCTGAGCCTATTTTTTAGCGCACAATAATCTACAAGTACAGTATTATCGAATAGTACTTAGTGGAATCTTCTATGTTGGATAGGCGCTGCTTCACATATTCGCGAAAGGACTTCCGCAGAAGAATTTGAGAAAACTAGAAACGGATCATCGAAGACATCGTACCCCCATTTTCAATACATCAGAAGGTGCTTCTCGCCGAGCCAAATCGAATGGTGGCTTTGGATTCAGAATTCATCCACTCTGAAGCGAGATATGGCCATGCGACGGTGATGTCCATACATTAGACGACCTCGCATCGCTCATGCGACAGTCGCGTGAGTCATGTCCAGGGGTGAGCAAGAGGTCAGGCACAAGTCCTTCAAAAACGACCCCCCCCCTCCCTGTGAAAGCCCCTAAACGACCCTCCGCTTCACCTCCAAGTCCTCAGGTTGTTATATTTTGAAGAAGACCAACTTTCACTGTAGGTTTCTATTTTTTGAAAGTGTGTAGGCCTGACTTTCTGCGATTGCACAACCACGCATAACTTGACGGCAAGTTTTAGATCTGGATAGTCCTTTTTTCAGAGCTATATTTTTCACAGGGGTGGAGTGTTTGGCTACAAATTTTCGATATAGCAAGAAGAGGCTTTGCGCTCAATACTCAAATCAAAAAGGGCGATTTTTGAATTTTGAAGGCAAGTTAAGAGGGTCAGGCGCAACCCCTCTCAAAAGCTCAGGCGGCCTGACCTTTTGAGGGGTTGCGCCTGACCCCATTAACTTTATTTCCGAAAAAGGTTTTCTACCCAAGTTTTATGTGATTCGCTGGCTCAACCCTCGAAGATTCCACAGTAAGTGTTTGAGCTTGATTCGACTTGTTTCGGCCTTGTGCTAATCCGAGGAGTTGAAGCACTCAACGTGAAAAACGCGCCGGTTGGAATTTTGGCAGCACTTCTTACTTGACTGTTTGAAAGCATTATGAAGCCCGATTTGTAGCATAGACTTGTAGAGAACATTACTTTGCTATGAATATACAAAAGCTGGCTTTTCTCACTTCTGAAACCAAGTTAATCACGTTTAAAAATCACGCTTTTAGACGTTGAGAAGCACTAGAAACTGCAGGTAATGGTTCGTAGAGCGCATAGAGGTAATTTGGCATGCTGATTGTGGAAATGATACCCATTTCACACAGCAAGCTTCCTTGTCGACCTCATATGTCAAGGTAAAAGAGATGAAGATTTGAATTTTGGCTGAAACTTCCATTGTGGAAACAGTGTGCTGTTTATGACCGTCAGTTCATTTGATCGCGATATCCACGGACTAGCGCATTTCTTCTTCACCTTTGCAGTATCTCCCCAACTTAACAAATTCGATTCTTATTACGACCCTCCCCCCTCACTCAGTCTTAGGGCCGCATGCACTAACCTCCCCGCTGAGGAGGGGATCGCAGCTCAAAAGAAAGCTTTATATTTCGAAACTCCAGATACCTGGATTTCAAATTGCGTAGCTGTTCGTAAGTATTCCTACTACCCTTCACTATGAACATGTTGAACAGGAGCGAGAAGCTGTACGAACCGCACTTTCCAGCTTTTGTATGATCCCTGATGATCCCCGGCGCTTTTCTTTAGAGTCATTTTTCTTTCTCCGCAGTTAACGAAAACCTTCCAAAGTTGTACTGAACATCTAACACAACAGTGCTAAGCATGTTGCTGATGAGAACAAATGAGTTTTTGAAAAGTCGAATTTATCGGTAAACCTCAAATTTCGACCTGTGGATCATCGAAAATTTCATGACTTCAAAACATCATTTGTTCTTATCAGCAACATGCTTAGCACTGTCGGTTTAGATAGTCTGCACAACTATGGAGGTTTTTCGTTAACTTCGGAGAAAGAAAAATGACTTTAAAGAAAAGCGCCGGGGATCATCAGGGATCATACTAAAGCTGGAAAATGCGGTTCGTACAGCTTCTCGCTCCTCTTCAACATGTTCATACTGAAGGGTAGTAGGAATACTTAGGATAGGTACACAACGTGAAATCCAGGTATCTGGAGTTTCGAAATATAAAGCTTTCTTTTAAGCTGCGATCCCCTCCCCGCGAGGATGTTAGTGCATGCGGCCCTTAGCCTCGATACGATCCCCCAGGTCGGGCGCGCCTGACCCTACGCTCAACCCTGGTCATGTCACATGTCGCATGAGTTGTGCTACGTTCGCGTCTATTTTTCAAAAAATGTGAGCAGTATTGTACATAGTAATTTCCAAATTTATGTTCACTATCTCCTTCGTTACAATATTTGGGGCCAAACTTCCATTAAACAGAAAAATTTGATATAGTAGTGTGAAAAACTTTACAAAAGATGGAATAGTATACCTTGCGAGTCGGCTACCCGAGATCTGCTCGCAACTGATTACTGCGAGCCTGTCGCGCGCGGCGCCTGCGTAAATTGACAGTCACAAGTAATGGGATACACCCGATCAGAAACCCCCTTTCGCACATGAGATTGATTATATACCGCCCCAGATGTACCGCACTGAGGATGACTATACATTGACTTGATGGCAAGAATTTCGTTGTGCAACTGCCATTCAACTCACTGAACAATATTGTACGTTCGATGTTCAATAAATTTGATGATGCTCGCAAATCTATAAAATCTGTTACCCAGTTTCCTTCTTCAAAAAACTATATGACCTACTTGATAAAATAATTCTTCGATGTGCAACACTTGCTGTACGATGAAAAACATGCAAAAATTTGGGTGGAGGAACGAACACTTCCATTAGGACCCACTTTGCGAACTACTGGTCCCAGCACGATGCACAACAGTACGACGAAAGGACCAGCAGCCTGCGGAGGTGGTGCCTAATTGAGGTGTTCGTTCCGGTAACCCAAAAATTCGATCGAAGTTCCGTGGCGGTTATACGCGGAGTCGCTGCCAGTTGGGAAAGAATCTTTTTTAGGCTGCTACTTGCAAAATTCGGAAGAATACCTCATGGCAGGAGAATCACGAATTGTTGGCCGCCAACGTCATGAGTGCGAGGTGCTTGGCGATGGTAGAGTACGTTACCAAGTCAAAGGTTGAGCGATTCTGTACAACATTCATTGTCCTCGCATTCGAGTTAGAATTGCAGTGATTGGTTGTATCCGCGAGGGTCAACACTACAACATTGCTCAAGTATTCACTGACAAACACGTACGGTATCAATGCATGAACGATGGGTCTTTGGACGTACTAGGTAAGTAACTTGACTTGAGCGACTGCGTAACCAAACATGACATCAAATGAATCACGAAACAAGCATTATACAGGTTGCGTCGATGATGGATTGTTTTTGGACCTTGGACGTGATCTTCTTATGAATGGAATGGTCCATAGATGTTACCAAGTTGGCACTACCACATTTTATCATAAGTAAGTTATAAACTTTGTTTGAGGTTCAACCATAAAGGCAGTCATTGCATAGCATGTGGGCTGCGTATTTAATTGTTTGCATATACATCTTGTTTCATAGAAATTGCGGTGCGTTGCTTACAGACTGTTCTGATCGAAATGGTGCAGGGAGCAAGGAATTGCATAGTAGTTCTTACAGAAAAGTAGACCTTTCAACCAGGCAGGCATGACCTCGGGTGAAAATCGCCTTGGAAAGTACGGGCACACTGGTCTACCGGACAAGCAGCCAATTGATTTGCATGAGGATCGCATCATCCCGCACATTCCACATCCAGTGCAGACAAAGCTTTTAATAAACTCTCGCCTCCAGGTTTTCAATGGCGCTTCTCCACACCGGAAATTAGTCGCGAAGTCTTCAAATGTGTCTGCACGACTTATAAATCCGTGCAAATGACTTGATCGTATCCTAAAATAATTAAAATGATTTTTTAAACTTTTGAAAGGAGTGGGATGAAGTGAGAGTTTTATCACAATATGTTAACAGGGACCAAGTGAGCGGTAGCCCGCTACTAATTGTAAGAACCGAAGCCGGTCTGGTATTTGGGCAGCGTTTTATTATACTGGATGTTTCAAAAGTTCTTTCCGCTTTCTCAACCTATCATAAACACATCTGGAGTTAAGATAAACAAACATTCCAAAGACTATTCGATGGAGTGCTATTTCTATCAGTGGTTGTTAAGATAATTGTAGAGGGATTTTGAACCCATGATTTTACCATGTCTAAGTTTGGCAATTTCTCAAAATTTTCATTCTAAACTCTTGAAGGGTTTGATGAAGGTGGACAGAGTAAGCAACATCTCCAGATAGCTTCTTGAATTTTCTCAAATTATTTTTTGATGTTTAAAAATTCCATACTTGGTTGAGCTAAATCTTCACAGAATCAACCGACGACCATAGAGTGTATTCGAGGCACGTTTCTCCTCTTTGTGGTAGTTTTTTCTTTCCGACTCGTTGAACCTTTTAGAATGATATAATAATAGTTGTAAGTTTCAAGCATGCAGCTACTGCACTCAAAATTTCTTCGTTGCTTTGAGACGATAAACGCTGATTTGCCTTGACAACCACAAAGATTTCTTAGTGTTTGATGCGTTCGTTGTATGAGACGATATTGCGAAAGTGAATATTTCGGGAAAAATCGCAAAGCTATGGTTATGCCAGAGCAAGGTTTAAAATATTGTATCGCACTTGTTTTATTCTATCCATACAATACCGCTCACATTTTTTGAAAAATAGACGCGAATGTATGGACATGTCCACACATCAGCGTCGCGTGGCCATATCTCGCTTCAGAGTGGACAAATTATGAATCCAAAGCCACCATTCGATTCAGCTCGGCGCGGAGAATCTTCTGATATATTGGAAGTGGGGGTACGATGTCTTCGATATTCCGTTTCCAGTTTTTTCAGTTTGTTCTGTGGAGGTCCTTTCGCGAATATGTGAAGCAACGCCTATCCAACATAGAAGACTTTACTAAGTGCTATTCGATAATACTGTTCTTGTAGATTATTGTGCGCTAAAAAATAGGCTCAGACTTCTTTCCGAAGGAGATATAAGCGTTAGTGAATTTTGGAAAAATCACGCGTTTTCAAATTCTACTCGCCATAACTTCCTTCGGAATAAGTATGTTTTGATTCCGAAAACAGCTCCTTGCTCAGCTTATCAAGTCGAATCTTCCCATATACAGCATGCCCTTGATATTTCGACTTCAGTATTCTTGAATCTTTCTGAGGACGTCTTTTCGCGAAGGTGTAAAGCAGCGAGCATTGTCCCGAGTACATTCCAGCAAGGATCTTTCGATAGCACTTTTTCTGTAGATTATGATGTGCTAAATAGTAGCCGCAGGTTTCCTTTCAAAGGAAATAGAACGGCTGGTGAATTGTGGAAAAATCTTGTCGTCCCAAATTCTACTCGCCATATCCGCAGGATACGAAGCTATCTTGCTAAGCAGATGTGAGTTTCGAAATCAGCAGGTCGCATCTTATATATAAAGCTGAATGTCTGTTTGTCTGTCTGTCTGTATGTATGTACGTATGTTCCGAATAGAAAATTCCATTTCTGAACCGATCCGGACCAAACTTGGCACACATACACTACGGGCCCCGGCGGGTGTCATAGGCTACTTTTCGTCATCGATCGATATCGATTTTATCGATTTTTATCGATTTTTTTGCTGAGTTCACCTACGGGGCTGGGAGTTGGCACAGGGGGGTAATCGAGCATGGGGATTCCGAATACAATATTGGTTTTCAGGATTATCGATTACTTTTATCGATTTTATCGATTTTTTTGCAAAGTTTGAGCTACGGGGCTGGGAGTTGGCACAGGGGGGTAATCGAGCATGGGGATTCCGAATACAATATTGGTTTTCAGGATTATCGATTACATTTATCGATTTTATCGATTTTTTTTGCAAAGTTTGAGCTACGGAGCTGGGAGTTCGCACAGGAGGGTAATCGAGCATGGGGATTCCGAATACAATATTGGTTTTCGGGATTATCGATTACTTTTATCGATTTTATCGATTTTTTGCAAAGTTTGAGCTAGGGGGCTGGGAGTTGGCACAGGGGGGTAATCGAGCATGCTGATCATCCCCAAGGGGGTGGAGGACTATATGTCGCCGAATTTGGAAGAATCCCGCGCGGATTCCCTGCAGGAACACATGTCCGCGCATGTACAAGAGTGCGTATTTATCGCAAATGACCGCGGGGACCGCCCTTTTTCGGCGACATATAGTCCTCTACCCTCCCCAAGGGGGGTGATCAGCATGTTCGATTACACCCCTGTGCCAAATTCCAGCCCCGTAGCTCAAACTTTGCAAAAATCGATAAAATCGATAAAAGTAATGGACGATCTTGAAAACTAATATTGTATTCGTAATCTGCATGCTCGATTACCCCCCTGTGCAAACTCCCAGCCCCGCAGGTCAAACTTTACAAAAAAAAATCGATAAAAGTAATGGATAATCCTGAAAACTAATATTGTGTTCGTAATCAGCATGCTCGATTACCCCCCTGTGCAAAATCCCAGCCTCGCATGTCAAAATTTACAAAAAATCGAGAAAATCAATAAAAGTAACCGATAATTCTGAAAACTAATATTGTATTCGGAATCCCCATGCTCACTTCCCCCTGTGCCAACTCCTAGCCCTGTAAGTGAACTCTGCGAAAAAATCGATAAAAATCGGTAAAATCGACATCGATCGATAACGAAAAGTGGACTGTGACACCCGCCGGGGCCCGAAGTGTATGTGTGCCAAGTTTGGTCCGGATACGGCGGAGCCGGGTAAGCCAGCTAGTAACCTCTATGAGCAAGTTTTCCGATATGTTCGGGTTATTCCATTTTTTCTCGTTTTATGCTCCGGAAGCTCGCCGATGGATTTTGGTCAAAATGAAGATGCTCTTGAATTGTAAGGAAACTTCGCTTATAGAGGTTTTCGAACACGCTCTTTACGAAAATCGTGGTCTTTGAGGATTACAGGCTCTTTTTGGATAGATACGGTGAGGTGACTGTAAGTGCATCACGAAAGTGCGTAAATTTGGCCGCACTTCTCGCGTATCTGCCAGAAACCTTGCCTGCTTGCTTTTCTCACTCAAAGTTACTAGGAATAGTGCTATCGAATGGTGCATGACTCAGGCTCCAGTCTGTGAAATTCGCCGAGTTACGAGCCTACGAAAACACGTCCTCATGAAGTTTGCCCAAAATGTGAAGATCGCATATTTTGTCGAAATTCCTCCGAGAGCGCTTGTACAACACGCTGATCAAATCTTTCCACAAGTCTAATGGATCTTATTGTGTTAGATTTGGTGCTTTGAGCTCTAGCCACGAAATAGCTTTGATATTCAATTGAGCAGCTGAAGCAGACGTAAGCACCATATTCAGTACAGTGGGAGTCGTTCGACGAACATAATATCTGCAACGAGCGTCATATAGTCGATGATCAGCGTATTGTACAAGCGCTTTCGGAGGAATTTCGACGAAATATGCGATCTTCACATTTTGGGCAAACTTCATGAGGACGTGTTTTCGTAGGCTCGTAACTCGGCGAATTTCACAGACTGGAGCCTGAGTCATGCACCATTCGATAGCACTATTCCTAGTAACTTTGAGTGAAAAAAGCAAGCAGGCAAGGTTTCTGGCAGAAACGCGAGAAAAGCGGCCAAATTTACGCACTTTCGTGATGCACTTACAGTCACCTCACCGTATCTATCCAAAAAGAGCCTGTAATCCTCAAAGACCACGATTTTCGTAAAGAGCGTGTTCGAAAACCTCTATAAGCGAAGTTTCCTTACAATTCAAGAGCATCTTCATTTTGACCAAAATCCATCGGCGAGCTTCCGGAGCATAAAACGAGAAAAAATGGAATAACCCGAACATATCGGAAAACTTGCTCGTAGAGGTTATGGACCTGCTGATTTCGAAACGCACATCTGCTTAGCAAGATAGCTTCGTATTCTGCGGATATGGCGAGTAGAATTTGGGACGACAAGATTTTTCCACAATTCACCAGCCGTTCTATTTCCTTTGAAAGGAAACCTGCGGCTACTATTTATTTATTTATTTATTTATTATCTTTGCATTTATCCCATATGATTGGGGTCTGCTACTTTTGTAATCTCTTCCATAATTCTTTGTCTATTGCTTGTTGTTCGTTCAACGCAAGTTCTCTTAGGTCTGCCTTGATTTTATCTATCCATCTTAATTTAGGTCTTCCTCTCCGTCTTCTTCCTGGCACATCCAATGATAGTGCCAATTTCGTAATGTGTCCCTCCTCTTTTCTAGTCACATTTCCATACCATCGAAGACGCTTCTCTTGTAGCTTCTTTATGATTGGAGCCACCTTCATTATGTTAAGTATGGTGTCGTTTGAGACGTGATTTAGCATACTTATGCCTGCAGTTCATCTCAGCATTCTTGTTTCCATTACTCCAAGCTGTCGTTCTTCTTTTCGTGTGCACGGCCAGCATTCGCTGCCGTAAAGTGCAGTTGGTCGTATAACCGTGCGGTAGATCTGAGACTTAAGTTCGAGGAATTCGTTTATCGCAAAGCACTCCAGTGAGGCTTCTCCAATACAAAAGAATAAAAAGATAGCTTACAAAAGATGGCAGATGACAAGTTCAGAAGATGCCCATCAGACATATTTGAACGCTAAGCGTGCAGCAAAGAGAAGTGTCAGAGAGTCGAAAGAAGACTGCGGCTACTATTTAGCACATCATAATCTACAGAAAAAGTGCTATCGAAAGATCCTTGCTGGAATGTACTCGGGACAATGCTCGCTGCTTTACACCTTCGCGAAAAGACTTCCTCAAAAAAATTCAAGAATACTGAAGTCGAAATATCAAGGGCATGCTGTATATGAGAAGATTCGACTTGATGAGCTGAGCAAGGCGCTGTTTTCGGAATCAAAACATACTTATTACGAAGGAAGTTATGGCGAGTAGAATTTGAAAACGCGTGATTTTTCCAAAATTCACTAACGCTTATATTTCCTTCGGAAAGAAGTCTGAGCCTATTTTTTAGCGCACAATAATCTACAAGAACAGTATTATCGAATAGCACTTAGTAAAGTCTTCTATTGGATAGGCGTTGCTTCACATATTCGCGAAAGGACCTCCGCAGAACAAACTGGAAAAACTGGAAACGGAATATCGAAGACATCGTACCCCCACTTCCAATACATCAGAAGATTCTCCGCGCCGAGCTGAATCGAATGGTGGCTATGGATTCAGAATTTGTCCACTCTGAAGCGAGATATGGCCACGCACGCTGATGTATGGACATGTCCATACATGTCCATACATTCGCATCTATTTTTCAAAAAATGTGAGCGGTATTGTACATCATTGAAGCTCCTCAAGATGTTCAAAATGAAAAATTCGAAAAATGGCCATAGCTGGACATCGTAAAAACGCCCGAAACCATAATATCTGAAAGAGGAAGAAATACTGTGTCGAATAGTCGTTAGAATACTTGCTCATCTTTATTCCATGTATTTTTGCAATAGGCCGACAAATTGAAAAGATTTTTCGGAGCGGCCTAATAGACCACTTGCTCATTATACAGGGTGTCCCAAAAAAATGTTAACACTGTTTGATCGTAAATAACTCCCTTGCTTTCAAGTATTTCGCCGAGCTTTAGGTACCATTCTGTAGAGCGAGGACAAACTTAGATTTGCAGTATGGAGCGAATCATCTAACTCTCCTCGTTACTGTAGAATTACGGTAGGAATTTTGACAAGGATTTTAGGCCATCAAAGGCCATTTTCTGCTTCGAAACAGAGCCAAACAAGCCAAAATCTCTTGTACTACGGTAGTGAAAGCCGCTGATTTCGGATATGAAATTTCCATTTTATTATGATACTTCTTTTCAAAGTTATCCTAGGTAAAGTGTAATAACTGACTTCCCAGCATGTGTCAAAAATGTGATTCCGTCAAAAAAGCTGAAAACACTCGTAAAATGTTGTATAGTAAAATCAGCGTGCGCGAAAACCGTACTACGCGATTTTTCAGATTTTTTGAAAAACATTTTGTCAGAGGGCATATTTCACAACGGTCCCACCATGCTGGAAATTCTTACCGTACTCTTACCGTAACGAAGAGCGAACGATGATTCGCTCCATACTGTAAATCTAAGTTGAACCTCGCCCTACAGAATGGTGCCTCAAGCTCGGCGAAAGACTTGAAAGCAAGGGAGTTATCAACAATCAAACAGTGTTAACATTTTTTTGGGACACTCTGTATTTTGGAAGCAAGTCTACAGTACTAAAGACGTGATTGGTACTGCCATTTGTCTGAGACTTATCGTGTACCGGTTCCCTGGCACATCTTGTGATAACCGCCGTTAATACTGCCAAGCGACCAAAAACCATTCGGAAAGTGACCGAGAAAGTCGTTTTATTCTTATCACGCAGATCGCTGCATTCTCTGATAGACGGATTTTTGATCATTGTTAACAAAAACTTTGCTGGTGAAATCAATTGAAGACTATAATTGTTCATGTATACTGCTGTTAATACGTACAGCTTAGAAAGTGATGCATTATGGAGTTCCCTAGTGGTGTGCATAAGCCTGAACTCCTACGGTTAGCTTCAAGCTTCTTCAAGTAAGACAGGAAAACATACTTGCACATTTGAACTCGAAGCATCTGATAAGTGAAAGCACTGAGAATCGTGCAAGATGATTTCCTCATCTTAAGCTTGGCTAATGGTTTCATCTTTCCGTAGATCATTTCTATAAAAGCTTGGCATGAGTGACGCATGAGAAATCTGAACATGGGGTTGCGAAGGGATGGTCGTGCGGGATGTGCTTGGAACCCAAAAAGTTGGTGTACATCGACTGCGCGATTTTTGGAAATGCAAGAACTATAATGTAGGTTGTCCCAAAAGCTGTTCTGTTCTGTCACCAAACTCATCGAACGCTGACCAGTGAGAATCTTGATAGCATTCACTTTGGCCCTTTCCTTCTTTTGAAAGCTGTGTCTTCTCTGAGTGCTACGCAATCTTTGCTGTACTATCGCCCTTCCCACAAGCAATTTTCAAATTCAAGTCCCTGTACAAATAACATTTATTAGCATTTTGAAAATTGTTCTCCTGTCGAGTAGAACTTATTTTCTGGTATGTCATTTTAGCTTACTCACAAAACTTGTTAAATTATTTTACTGTTACATTTATTCGGTTAAAATTTGCATTCTGAGTTAGGCAACTGCGCTCAATAATGGTTCCTAACAGAAGCTTCTATAGGTGATGTCGGTCGCTTCCTCCGACAATTTTTTAGACTTCCTCAAGCTCCTACGTTGGCTACAATATGTTACTTGAGCTCACAGCTTGCACTTCGAATGTGCACGCCAGTATCACTGAAAGCTCAGTTTTTCGAAAAGAATCAAGTCTCAACTAAGATCGTCCGATGGAAAAAAATTACTATATTTCCTATCCCTTTTAATGAAAATGGGATAATTTTTCGAAAAAGAGGTTGAGACACAATGTCGCCCAGACGCTCCAGCATTAACATACAATCAATTCATCATGATCAGTTGTAAAACAGTGTCCTACTTTCTTTGCATTCTCCGACAGCCATTTCAATCACCTATACATTTTAATTTTATCTTAAAAGAAAAGCAATGGTCGTTGACATCAATCAACATAAATGTTGAAAGTTTGAAATGTATATGGCACAGGATGAGATGGTAGGCAGACAGATTAGAATGGTGCTAATGAGCTGCAAGAGGTAATACATATGGATAAGCCTTTTTTCCAAACCTCAAATGCGCACTGAGCCTCGTCTTTCATCTTTATATCTTCAAGAACGCTGTAGACCCTCTAACCCGCTTGCCGTTCAAGTCCAAGCTCCAATTCTACGGCAAATGACCCTATAAATTATTAAGTAAAAGATTATGTAAACTCGATTCTCATTGTACGAGCATGTTTCTGATTGGCGGTTCGGTCACATGATCTTTCTGTGCTTTCAGGTTCAACTGCGAATATGGCCGGACACTCTCTGAATGCATCGCCTCGTCAAGTAGCACAATAATGCGAGCAAGACGTTTACTTTATTCTTGATTATCTTATTGATGACTTTCGTATATATTATATGTTGTGAAACAGAATAAGTTACAGATCAATAATACTGGCATAATATTCAAATGTACATACAAAATCAAAATAAATAGGCAGCACATCAATCTCCTGTGATGAGAATGAGCGATAATAGACACAGAAGTTCAAAAACACGTCTTTCAGAGATTCACAAAGCCTAGAGGTGATCGAGTTCGTCTACAGGTGTATCACAACAAGCCTATTGCATTCAGCTGCTGGAACTCGCACACTATGTATCTATATGAAAGACATCTTATTACGCGCGCATCCGTTCGTTCAATAAGTGAAGCGGCCTCTCGACACCGTGTTTCAGTTTCATAGGAAGTATGAAAGACCTGTGTTTGCTGTAGTAGGTGACCAGATCGTGAAGATTTCTAAACACATATAGGTGAGGTTGCTATAGAGACGAGGACTGCTCAGACTTACTTGAAGCTGCGGTCTATGTCTAATCGAAATTTGGCTTCTCCTGACCCTCCCACTGAATATCCAATGCGGAGATGATGCACTGATCCACTGTGTACGAAAGATAAAACGTACTGGAGCGACTGTTGTGAGATCACGAACGAGCTGAAAATTGGCGCTTACAAACAGTCAAAAACAGTGAGATGCTGACTAACCCATCTTCGCAGCCAGAGCTCTGCAGTAATCGTTCAGCTTTGCTGAGGTCCATGCCTTGATAGAACCATACTTGTGCACGATTATAATCGGCTGTGGAAACTGAAAATCATTGTGAATGAATGTATATATCCAGAATAAAAGATTGAATAGCTGAACTAACCGAAATCACAATCCGCTTCACTCCCGCGGCGAATCATTCGCTGTGCACAGCGATCATGTTGCGACAGAAGGTGAGGGTGTATAGAATCCGAGAAGACCATTGGTACTCGGTCGCAATCGTCAAAATGAGCAGGAAGGCCACTCTGAATATGTGCAGATAAATTAAAATAGACGAAGAGAGGAGAAAGTGATTACCGTAGTTGGCTGTGAGAAATCCATCATCATATAGTTGTCCGCTAGATCTCCCGTAGACAGAGAGCGCTTGGTATCTTTTCGAAAACGATAGATAATTGATCGAAGGAAGTTGTGAGCAAAGTCGGAAGCACGTCTTCGGGACATCGCGATAATTCGGGTCCTGAGAAATTTGCGAATATTCATTCAGACCAGAAAGGCAGCGCAAGAGCGATTGCGTAATCACAATATCACTTGTTGCAGGTGAATTCAAGAGAAACAAGACGTGTTTTCATGCTTCCAAGAATATTGGTGCTTGCTTGGAAAATATAGATTTGCAAGAACGATCACTTGAGAAGTCACGTGCGTGTAAACAGCAAGCAAGAATTAATATTGAACGAGCCTCATGAAATAAACATCGGGGTTTGTAGACTGGAATTTCGCCCCCAAGCAAGTCACAATTCTCCTGATTCCCGGCAGCAAAGTGCAAGCATGAAAGAACTGTCAGACGAGTGCGTGCGAAATAAAGCAAAGTGCGGATGCACTTGCGCGACCGGGAGATCGTCTACTGACTCTTCTCAGTGTTTAACTTGAGAATGAACTCCACAAATTCTATCTAAAAGAACAGGACTTGGGTTATTGCAGAACAATGGGTGATTCATCTACAAAATTTATAGTGGAAAGAATGCTATGGCTGGTTTTTCATACTCGATTTTTCTTTTGGATACCATGACAATGACAACAGATTAACGCGACCTCCTGGAACTTACTATTATCTGTGACCAATGAGAGCTATATTGTAGTAACTAGCGGCCCTAAGGGCCGCTTGCAAGTATGCTAGGGTACATATAGTCATCACCACAATGACCTCTACGTTTTATACCTTTTTACGGTTCTGGGCAACTGAAACCGAGTAATAAATGACTTTTGACTCTTCTGATTGTGAGAATCCTCTTTGCTGATTATTCGATACCTTTTGACTCTCTTCTAAAAATTTTCTTTCGGTCAAATGTTTGCACCAATCTCAACAGAGTCACCAAGCAGTCGACTCTCAAAGCGACGATGTAGTCTACACTCAGCTAAACACTCAGAAAGTACCTCAGTTCCCGAAAAATTCCGGCAGAAACAAGCATTGTATTCTCATGCCTTATGCGTCGCCTATAAACCACTTTTTGCAAATACGTACTGCTCCGCGCCTTCAGAGCGGTATATGTGAGAGCTGCCCCACGATCCTGGAGAAGAATACTTCAAGAAAAACTTCCCTACAGGCCTCCTACAGAGCGGTAATCTGAGAAAATAGTGCCCTTCATACCCCTACAAATGATATCGTATTCTGGGATAAGTCTGCCATACAACTCCCCCTCCCTGCAAATCGAATATTGCGGGTAAGCCTTTAAGCTGCTTACAGACGGAAAAATTGCCCTATGGTCCACCCGCGGACGGTAATTAGTCATTAGAAGGAAATGCCCTATGGGCCGCTTACAGACCCTTATTTTGACAAGACTACACTGTGGGCTGCTTACAGACTGGTATTTTTCAAAAAAAGATATTTTCAAAAAAGAACTGCTCATGTAGAATGATCCTACGAGCCGCTTACGGACCTTTTCCAGAAAAGGTTGCCCTATGGACGCACACAGACCGATATCAAGAAGAAATTGTCCTTCAAATCTTCAAACCAACTTTCAAAAATTGTCCTAAGAGCCGCTCAAAGTCTATTATTGCAAGAAGCAGTCGCTCGCCCTATGTGTAGCACAAGCTGGTATTTTGAAACAACAGAAGCTATGAGCTGCTTGAGACATATCTTTACGTAACTACCATCGATATATTAGAGAATATAACTGCCCTATGCGCCGCTGCAGAGTGGTAGTTATAGAAAGAAAATGCCCTATAAGCCACTAACAGACCGATGTTTTGAGAAGTTACTCACAGTCCCTACAGACCGAGGTTTACAAGAACCCCCTTCCCCTTCCTCCGTCGTTCCTCTTCCCAACAAACCCTACTGGAGAAAGAACCGTGCTGAGACTGCCCTAACAAGGGAAGTGTCAGAAGTCGCAGTGGCCTTTTGACATGGGATGGGTACCATCTTAAGCAGCTTTAAATGCTGATTCCAAAACTTTCTTAGCTGCAGAACTGATCTGGGTCGCGAGTTATGGGCATTTTAAACATTAAATTTTACACTGTTTGAAGTACTCTGTGATCACGGGAACCTTTCAATTGCTTGTTTAAGCACCACAGCATGACTTTGATGAAGGCGTAGGATTACGTTAAACATTGTTGGACTGTTTCATCTATGTTTGAGCCCGAAAAAATGTTCGCTTTAATTTTTGGCTATTCTCAGCGTTGTAAGTTTCCCGCAAATTATATTCAATGACTCTCGTCCTAGATTAGTTCTGCAGCTAAGAAAGGCTGCTTTGGAATCAGCATTTCAAGCTGCTTCAGATGATACTTATTTCATGTCAAAAGGCCACTGCGAGTTCTGACACCTCCCTTGTAAGACCGATATTCTGAGAAAAGGCTATCTTACCCTCCCCCCTCTTCCTTCCCCCACAGACCGATAATTACAGGAAGCCCTGCCCTATGGGGGATCAGCAGATATTCCAGATTACAGATCTACAGCCCCTACAAACTGTATTGCCCTACGAGGCACTCACGTATAATCTGCTCTATGGACAGCCAAAGACCGAAGTCTTGAGAAAGAAGCTGCCAGCTACTTATTGTTAGAGGCCTACACAATGGTATTTTGAGGAGGAACCGCCCTTGGACCTATATACAGCCAATATTTTGTGATAAAACTGCTCTATGGGCCACCTACAAACCATAATTTGAGAAAGGACTGCCTTACGGGATTTTACAGACCAATATTTCAAGAAAAATTGCTCTATGTGCCGCTGCAAATCGATAATTTCTAAAAGGAGCGGCCGAGCGGGGAGGGGGTGGGGGCTTGCCAACGATAATTTGTAAAGAATCGCCCCATGGGCCTCTTGCAGCATTTTGGGAAATAACCGCTCTATGGGCGCTCACAGACCAATATATCAAGAATTGAGCTGGAAACCCTCAAACCAATATCTCGAAAAAAATTGCAGCCGTTCAAAGACCGATATTTGAGAAAGAGCGCTTTCCGAGTCCCTTATGAATTAGTCTTCTGAGAGAGAAAAAATAATTAGAACAGGTTACAGTATATCTACGCCTCATACAAACCAACTTTCACAAGTAACTCCTCTACGCGCCGCACACAGACCGACAATTTTAGGAGGTGCCCTAGTCGCTTATACATCAGCATTTTGAGAAACAAGTACGAGCCTAAAAAGTGCCTGATGAGAAGCTTATGGAACGATAATTGTATGACGATTCTACGAGCCCTTCCGCTCCTCTTCAAATTCATATCTGAAAAAAAGCGCATTATGGTCCACCTTTAGAACTATAAATATGAAAATGAAATGTTCCCCTTGCGGACCGATACTTTGAGAAGGAACCACCCTAACAATAACCGCTAACTGGATAATTGTCGAAAAAACTCCTCAGGGGAACTTACAGATCAATATTTTTAGTAGAACTGCCTTACTGGCACCTACAAATCAAGAAAGAGCCCTATGAACAGATTAAGCATTGAAAGATATGCCCAATGAACAGGGAACAGACTGGAGTTGTGAGAAATGATTGCAGAGACCTATAAGAATAGCCTTACGACTTACCAACTTATTTCAAGAACAGAGAACTGTCCTCATCAATTCTCACCAACTATGCCAGCTATGAACTTTAACTAATTATGGGCAGCCAAGAACTTAAGCAGGAAAATGAAAATGTGAGCAGTCGAAGGGTAAACGTTGAGGAACTATTAAAGCATGTCTACGCTAGACAGCGAGTTCCGAATCATTCATACCGGCAGAGTTCAAACTTGCGAAAGAATGGGGGGGGGGGTACTGTTAGCAACCTTACGAGAGTGTCGGCCCCTTCCCAACTGTAGCCTTTTTGCACTTAAGAACCGCACCCCTTTTGGACGCCTTCCTCGAGGAGACACGATATTTACCACCCCCTGTACCCCTACGAAAACACGCTAGCCTTGTAGACAATCTGCACCCTCCGCACCCTCGGCAATCACTCGCCTCAGTCCGCAACTTGTCAACATGTAAGTGCAAAACCTTGCCATTCTTTATTATAGAATGATCTCATTCCGAGGTCCATAATTGTTCTGACGAACAATCCGCTATAATGGAGAATGAAGCGAAAGTGAGGTCCCAGCTGACCTCTTAGATAAGCATTCACGAGTGCAGCGAGCATTCAAACCTACGATTTTCACCTCGAACATATGCAGGATAACTCGTTATTGTCTCTTTTTTTATTTTGAAGGCGTGCACAAAACAGTACAGTAGCACTTTGACGTGACAGTAAGCAGCACCAGACTTTCACAGAAAGGTCATCAATAGGCTTTTATGGATCACGCAAACTTTTCATATGCTTTTCAATGTAATGCACTTGTAAATCGTATATACTCTGCTTTTCGGGAGTAGGGTGGATTGTATAGAAAGCAAATATGATCAGGAGCGAACACTGTGGAATGAATGATACGAAACAGCCGAAAGCAATAACTTTAGCAATGATGAAAACTGCTGCTTCTCAGATAGGAGCGGACACAGACCACTTGAGCTTTTGATAGTGCTGATAATGAAAGCAAAGCAATTCGGCGAACTATTTCACAAAGATAAGAAATTACACTAGTGATAACGATGTAGGTTCAGGTCAGTATTGCTGCCAAAAGTTCATGTTCCTCCTTTGCAATTGAACGAAGTACAGCACATGAACGTAATGAACTGTGCACATACAGCAATACGGTAGGCATCAGGTACCGTATGCACAGATGGCAGAGACGATCACCATTCTCTTCGCTCGCACTTAAATAGCGCTTCGCTTATCGACGCACGTGGAGCGAATTACTGCGCCGTTAGGCGGAGTCGACGAGAAACGCAGATTGGCAGAAGGGTCGGAAAAAAGCGCAGTCCGTAGTATGTGTAAAGATGACGCAATCTGACAATCATCCTCGCGAGAAATTGCTTCGCAAAAAAAAGAGGGACTGGTATAAGGCTTGTTCATTCACTGCAAAAACATTCTGAGCTGACAAGCAAGAAGGTTGATGAAGCTAACGAAAACCTTACTCCAGTCTGCTTATTTCAGCGCTTTATATGTGCGAGTTCACCCACTGCACACAATGCGCGTTTTATCCTGGATCTTGAGCAAGGACCTGCATTCTTCGGCAGTAATTGCTTTGCAGCGTATTTCCTTGGCTTATAATCTTCCTAGACCACAACAATATCACGAATTGGGTATTCTCAAAACGACCAGCAAAATCAGGAAGGACGCTTAATATTTGCAGAGTGTACATTGGCAATTGAGATATGACTGGATTGTACCTGGCCAGTCAAGCTTGCGCTGCTGATTTACAGTGTGGCACAAATATGTTCACAATTATATGAAAGCAGCAGAACCAAACTATAGAGTTGAAAAAAATTGGAATGTGCGACAAAAGAAGTGTTTTCTCTCATTATTCTCGCTATTTCTAGGAATTAGAAACTATCCAATTTCTTCAAAGATCAATGGAATCATATAGTGTAGCTGAGGTGCAATGCCGTTCACTCGGATAAACATCTGTTTTTGTTGACGACAGCTTACGACAGCTACAAATGCAAGATTATGTAACTGATGGGTGACAAAAGTGATACCGACATTACTTTATTCTTTATTCGTATTTGATTTTTCTTTTATTTTTATTCATCAGTAGCGAGGACACACAAATTGCGCAAACTTTAAGGAATATGAAGAATCCATGAAGAGCTGTAAAGTTGCTCTTTTCTTCTCTGTCATATCATAATGTGTAATGCCTTTTTTAAGCAGAAATAGAAAAGGGTGAGAGAGGTAGAAGAACGTTCACTATCAATCTCATATCTGTCACAGACATATACAGATCACCTTCAAATGTGATAGAACGAGAAATAGAGAAGAGAGAGGAGAGACTGGAGACCACAGAAGACGAGACGACGAGAATGAAGGTGGTGAGGGAGGGACGACGAGAAGAAGAGAAAACTTTCGGATCAGATTGAATCGACCCACTGGCGCATGTATGACGCAATAAATGTAGATAGCGATATTAGCTTGGCGAAGTACATTCGAACCGTGAGGACATCGCACTTTGTCAATGTTCAGCATCATGTCTTTGTCCCCGGACCAAGCTGTGCATAACTGCACATTTAGAGGCAAATCACACTTTTTTCACTCCATGATAAATGAGAAGAAAGAACTCTCCGAATCAGCGGGTCCAATACGAGCGAAGATCAGCGGCACTTCCGCCTTTGAAGTCGAGTGTTGGGCGAAAACGAACACGTCGGGTCTTTTATTGAAGTCTGACGCAAGCAGCTGAGCTTTGGTCTCGCGGCCGTCCACTCCAGCCGATGAGTCAGCGCCCGACCGCAGCTGCGGATACTCATTACAAATATCTGAATCTGTACTATTTCGGCAAAAACTCTCAATGAGTCAATGCGCTGCAGCGGCACTTCCTTGACAAGTGCGCAAAAAGCGACGACAACAAGCGGCAAGGCCATGACGCAACTAACCTACATGGCAAAACGTCTAGCCTGATGTGTAACCAACTGCACTGCTGCAGGTGCACTAGCTAATTCGCAGACATTTTTGTCCTCTTCAAACTGGGTGGCAGTGAACTCGTACGCACTGCAATGATCCAAGTGCTGGGCACAAAATGGCACAATTTGTTGTATTGGCCCATGGTTTTTATACCGAAAATTATGAAAAAGTTCTTGAGAGCTTTCAAAGAACATTTCAATGCATATATTTGCTATTGTATACAAACGCCCTGTTTTGTCATGGATATAAAACAAAGTCTAAGCCGATCGTAGAGAATAATCAGTAAGAATTTTCCTTACACTACTCAAGCAGTGTAAGTCGTTGAAGCAAGATCGGAAAGATTATACTGGATCTTTTAGCATTTTTAGCGACCTGCATTGAAAATTGAATACAAGTACATTTTTTTGCGAGCGTCTACTTCAGCCCACAAGAAGCCACTTTTCTCTATGAGCATCATTGGAGAGCAATGATTTTCCCTTTTCAAGTTGCACTGGACAAACGAATCCTTTTGAAATTTAATCTCAAATGTTTTTCTGGAGATTTTGACGCAACACTTTATTCCAGCCCACCACTTATATGAGGTTCATAAATAGTCAAAGAAAATGGCCTGATGATTAATTTGTCTGGAATGTTCAAAAGTTTATATGTCAGACAGGAAACCATTTTTCATCAAAATCAACACAAAGAATGCAAGAAATCATATGCCTATCCGTAATATGTAGAGAGGCGCACGAATTCCACTGTTTTTTTCTTCTAGAAATAATTTTTGGTCTGACCATGAGTCAACAGTGCCCAACCCCCACTGAATCGTGCATTTCTGTGGTCGCGAACGATGACTTAATCGGAAGCGACGTAAGGTCGTTGTTTTTTCGTCAAAAGGTCGATCCATCTGATCCATTCTGCCGATTTTCGGGCTCTCGATGAATCTTGACAACCGTAGATGAATGCGTAACTGTTTTTTGTTTTCGCAAAGTGGTATGTAGTCACCTTGAAAGTACTAGGTTATAGTAAGTTTTGCAGTTAAGCCTACAGTTTTTTCTTATATCGGCCAATCGCAAGACCGCATTTCCATGAAGAAACTTCTAAACCGGAGGTGCGCACACACTCTCTGTGGCAGATTTTACGAAAGCAAGAGCGGAGAGGGACTTTTGTCTCGTGGGCAACATGTTAAGGCAAGTCACATAGGGTGGCTGTGATAATGTTGTGCAAAACGGACACCTTCCATTTTCTCTTAATACATGTGGCGCACTCGTTATTGGACATTACATGGATTATGTTGTGAAGTTACCAACTTAGCACAGGTAGCAGATCTGCGGCGCCAAGTGACAAAAAAAGAAACACTCGAATCACACAATATTGCGTATTGCAAAGAGCGATAACCAGAATTCCAACGGTAAACCAATCGAAGGACGCTTTCATCACAAAAAAAAGAACACTGAATATTTCTCGAAACTGCAGTCACGAATTTCATGTAGATTCAGTTCTGAGTTTGTTTCGTTATTGAGAACTCCACAAGGGGGGAGGGGGGAGCAAAAATCTGAAAGTCTACTTTACAGTGTATTGCATCACGAAACTTCTGACGATTTTGATTCTAATTTGTGTCACATAATGCTGCGATCATCCTCTATAATTCGCACTCTACCTAGCTAAAAAAGCTTGCCATATGTTTTGTAAGAACTGAGTTTGTCAAACAAGTGCTTCTGTATAGCGAAAAAATCAAGATTTCTATATTTACATTATTTCGTAGCGAAAGATACTGTGAATATTCTACAACACTTTGATGATGCAATTTAGAGGAGCCTTTGCGCTATCACATAGTAGTAGTTGCGTTTGCCACGTACTCTTCTCTTCATAATAAAACTTTGCGAATATTACCTGCGCGCCATGGGCCATTTACCTTTAAGATGAATTTGAAAGCTATATTAGCGCAGCAGGTACTGAGTTTCATGCTACATTCGTTCTATGAGTCTTCTATATAAGCACCCGTTTGAATTCCATCGGTGGAGCAATCTGAATACTTTTTAGATAAATTTTTCCTCCCTTTCGCGCAATCGCATCCAAATTTCCAGTATGCGAGTACACTTATCTTCACTTTAAATTCCAGCATTTTCAAATAATGCAAAAAAATTGCCTCGTAATATGCTGTAGCCAATTGCTCTAGCAAAGTGCACATTTCCCTAGTAAAAGAAGCAGTTATCAAAGGTGGGGTACGAATTTCATCACGACTGCCTGCGTGCCATGAGAGGCGGAAGGACTCGCCAAGAATTTGAAGGGCTGCTCTGAAGCCAAAAGAGGCATCAAGATTCGAGACACATACCACGCTTGTCTTTTGCGACTACTGAGGGATATTCAAGGAGAGTCGTGTCAAAGGGACAATTTGTTAAGAGATACTTATCTAAGTTGTTCAAACATGCTCAAAAGGGAGATGCATAAATCCTGGAATCGACAGTTTATGAGCATGTATCATTCATTTTCTGACCAAGGAACTCGAAACCCCCTTGCACACATTATCAAAACAAGCTTGGTCGTGTAATTAACAGAATGCCCGTTTCTGGCCATCCTAGATTACTGGGGCAGACACCCTTTTACGTGAGTGTATTCGTGTTTTCTGTATGTTTTTTATAATCTTTTTCTTCATCAATCTCGTCAAAGTGATGTAACAGCGCTCAGTTTCTTGCATTTTCGTGTCCTTTTCCGCCATCCGGACCCATTTGAAAGATATGACTTCTTTTCTTGTACCAAATTTGGTAAAAACCTCATAAGCTAGAGTGTCAACAATCGGCATGTCATCCATTATTTAACAGGTTTGACCAAGAGTTTGTTTTGCCTACCTATAAATGGTTAACTCTGGTTATTATGCAGAATGATCCCATTTTTTTGTGACAGTTTCATAAATGAGCTTTAATATTATGCAGATGACATTCTGTGTTTGATAAATAAACAT